CACTATTGGTAAGTACTACCAGAAAAAATGTCCTGTCCGAATAGACAAATAATCATGAAATCTTTGATGTTGGTTACATCCCCTGCTATTTAATTTTTATGCTTGATAGCTTGCATAAATTTGCATACAAGTGAAACAGTATTTAATGGCTGTCTCAGAACAGTATTAAGTTTTTGCTAGTATTGAACAGCTGATATGAAAAGATATTTACTTATCTGAGAGTATTTAACATTGCACAGCACTGACATTATTTGGCATTTATTGATAGTTTATATTTTATGGGAGTTCATAACCAATGCCCACCTATTACCATTGCACCATCCTAACACATCTAAGGTGTTCTAATTTTGAGGTTAAAATTAACATTCAAATTGCAAATTTTTAATTCTATATTCAAGAACATTTAGAAGAGCCTTACAGGATCAGACCAATGTTTCACATAGTCCTGCTTCCACCCATAATAGCCAACAAGATACCACCAGGAGATCTAGAATTAGGGGCCAAAGCCTCTTTGTATTGTTGCTACCCAGCAAATGGTATTCAGAGATGTTCTGCTTCTGAACAGGGCGATGGTTCCATTCACCATCATGACTAATAACTAGTGATGGAACTTTCCTCCATGATTTTCATTATCTTTGTCTAAATCTATCTAATTTGGCAGTCTTGAGGCAGCAAATTTCAGTCAGGAAGATGTGCTTTTTTTGGTCTGTCTTGCCCACAGAATTTACATTATTGATCACTACTGAAGACAAAGTCAACATTTTCTCTGAGTTATCTACAATCTATTTTGAACCTTTAACATTTGATACAGTGTGTTGAAATCCATGGATGTTTTCTGCAAACTGAGGAATCTTCCATTGTAGGAAAGACTGCTTTTGTTAGAGAACAAAGTCTTCCCCCAGTAGAAGGAGTCTTCCTCCAATGGAGGGGCTCTTTCCTCCCCTAGAAGATTCCTTGTTTAGCAGAAGGGAATCACTGGATCTATCTTAGTGTTTTAACAATAAAAAAAGTTTCCCTTGAGGATTTGATGACTAGCACTGACAACTTGGTAACACTCATCCACTTGGGAGAAATGTTTTGATTTATAATAAGTCATAATAGCTTTAGGCCACCATAAACATACCCCACACACTCACCAAGCCAGTTCTTTTCCAAGTAGAAGGAAACACAGACCGGAGTGATGGTAAAGAAGTCCACAATGGAATTAAGTTCAACCCAAAACTTCAACTTGTCACTTGCTGCCAAGAACTAGAGAAACTATGCAAAATCAGATGACACAACACCATATCTATCTTACTAGTTATTTTTCATCTATCCATCTGCACGAATTACACCACTGCACATAAGAAATGGTAAACAAGGAAATAACAAAACATATATTTTGCTGTAGAAATGAAAAGATGATATTCATTTATTCCTTCCATTGCACAAAGCAAGGATTACCCTGTGAACAGCTGGCAGCCCAGGTGCATGTTCTACCAGATTCATTTCAAGATTTGAAAACAGGGTGGTCAAGAATAAATTTTGGAAGGAATAAGGAAGCTTCATGCATAGGAGCCTGATTGATCATCTTTCTACATTTGTTTGGCAGGGTCATTTGCTTAATGGGAGCAAACTCTCCATCTCAAAAGGCCACTTACCCAATACACTGATCACTTGGGCACATATGCAGCATACACTTGGGAGTTTGTTTACATTTTGGTTCACCATCATGTGCTGTGCTTTCTGGGTTTTATCATTTTTAAATTGTAATTACTGTGGACTTTATTTTTAATTGTTTTATCTACTTGTAACCCACCCTGAGCCTGCTTGTGGGGAGGGTGGGATAGAAATCCCACAAACAAACAAACAAATGTGTAGATAGACAACTCAAAAATGCTCACAAAATTCTCATGCCTCCTTCCCAAATTGAACATCCTGTTCTAATTTTCTCCCCTGCACCAATGACCTCCACAATCATGGGGGTGGGGGGAGTTTCCCCTAGTATACCAAAAGGAGAAGAAGACATTGTGGGATTCCAAAAATTGAAGTAGAGGGGATAAAACTACTCATATCTTTAAGTCTTAAGATCTAATGCCTACAAAAAACAAATAGCTAATGTACCAGCTTCTGGACTGTAGAATTTAAGGTTGCACCTGATTGAATGTTCCTCCATACAAAACAAAAACAAGTTTGCACATAGCAAATAAGTTTAAAAAGCACCTTAGAACTTGCTCCTGACATGCAAATTATTTGTGTGTACAGAATGTTTGTTTGTATGGAGAAGCACTCAGGTATTTCTGTTGCCCCCCCCCCCCCCCCCCCCCCCTCAAAAATGCTCACAAAATTCTCATGCCTCCTTCCCAAATTGAACATCCTGTTCTAATTTTCTCCCCTGCACCAATGACCTCCACAATCATGGGGGTGGGGGGAGTTTCCCCTAGTATACCAAAAGGAGAAGAAGACATTGTGGGATTCCAAAAATTGAAGTAGAGGGGATAAAACTACTCATATCTTTAAGTCTTAAGATCTAATGCCTACAAAAAACAAATAGCTAATGTACCAGCTTCTGGACTGTAGAATTTAAGGTTGCACCTGATTGAATGTTCCTCCATACAAAACAAAAACAAGTTTGCACATAGCAAATAAGTTTAAAAAGCACCTTAGAACTTGCTCCTGACATGCAAATTATTTGTGTGTACAGAATGTTTGTTTGTATGGAGAAGCACTCAGGTATTTCTGTTGCCCC